CCCCAAAACCCCAAAACCCCAAAACCCCAAAACCCCGAGGTTGAGTATCTAAATTGAAACCCAAATTATGCATAAGTAGGCTTATCCCTTCACCACCCCCAACCCCCACTCAACCCCCACTCAACCCCCTCGTTACACCTTCACCCCCAAAAAGCCCCCTAATCCACGCTTAGCCCATGCTGATCCTCCTGCACCCAAAACCAAGCAGAAGTCTACCTGATTTTAGCCGTGAATGTATAACACATGGGCCTGAAGCAGAGGTAGAGGAAGAAGAGTGGCTTAAGCTGAGGAAGAGGGAAATTTAAGTGGGGATTTAGGGTAAGAGGGGTTGGGGAAATCGGGGGTTGTGAGTGAGAATTTTTTGAGGGGTTAGGAAGGATGGATATTTTAGTTTACACCGTTTTTATAGTAGTCTATGAGGGGGTTTGATAATAGAAGAGGTAGTAGTATTTTAGCTTTTGCAGCTGGTTATTTCTGCTTAGCTAATGTGGTAGTAAATTTATGCTAGCAGAGCTTTTGATGCTCAAAACTTTTGAGTTTTTACGCATATAGGTTAGTAGATATGAGCACTCAATAGAAATTTTCACATCTTAGTAAAACTAATAAAATCTGAATATCATTATTTTACTAATGAAATTAGTTATGATTTGGGATATCCTGCTAATCGTCATGCTCTAGAGGATAGTAGAGTATCTGTGAGCCTTACTATTGACTCTCATGGGTAAGAAGTTATTTGCCAACTCAGGTCTCAGGTCCTCCAAAAGATCTTTATTTCCATTTGGAGACAAAAGATGTTTTACAAGGATCTCTTCATTACCTTCGCTAGTTCAACTTTGGACAGGGTTAACCGAGATAGAAGACTCTACATCGAGTATTCTTCTGTTGCCTCTGAGTTGGAAGTTGTCTCTGATCCTCTTGAAATTAGAGGAAAAGTTTCCAGAGCTGAAATGCTCTCTGATGGTAGATTTTGAGTTCCTATTCTTGAGCTGGATTATCTCATGTTTATTTCTCTTAATTGTAGAAACACTATCACCAACAATATTAGGTATAAAATTCTTTGTATAGTTCTTCATCATGGCCAAGCGAGGGTCCCCTCAACTTCGCAGTTGAGATGTCAGATCCATATCCATTCTTCTGACCTTAGGAGAATTGATCTTTATGTCCTGGACCTCGTTGCTTACTGAAGGAGTAGAGGCAGGCACACTTGTATTTTTAGATGTAGGCTTTTTGAAGAATTTAAATATTGATTTGTTATCTTGCATCTCAGTTTCGAAGTAGTATGATTTCTAAAAGGGAATTTGGTAAGAGTAAAAACTTGAGTAATCCTAATTTTGATAAAGCAGATTAGACAGCGGACATGTTTTATCTTAATAAAAATCGCGGTCTTTGTGTATGACATAGTGAATTAAAGTTTTCTTGAATCAAATAACTTATGAAAACTCAAAAATATGCTTACATTTTGGTCAATACTGGTCATAGCCCTCACAGCAGGAGGGCTCATTACTCTTCTTTTATGGAAGCTTGTATTAAGCCTGTTTAATTCTTCAATCTCAGTAGACTGTCTAAGCTGTGGGCTAGGACTCTTGGCTTTAGTTCATCTTTACTAATATTGCAGTACCCTTATTCTCTTTAAAGAAGTTTCTTGGCTTTAGGCGTCATCTCTTTACCACCTTATTTCAGGATCTAAGGTTAACCTTCTTCAAGAAATATTTCTTCTTATTTAGCTTTAAGATATTCTGGGCAAATTTGTGAGGGTTCTTGGATCTTTTGATGAATAAAATCGAGTCTAATACCTGCCCATTTTTCTGAGTTTTCATATTTATTAATTCTTTATCTATAATTTATTTTGTTTCAACCTAAAATATAGTTTTGGGGTTTTGGGGTTTTGGGGTTTTGGGGTTTTGGGGTTTTGGGG